ACAGGCTGGATCGATGGGCTGAGGCCAACTGTATGAGATTCAACAAGGCCAAGTGCCAGGTCCTGCACAACAACCCCATGCAACGCTACAGGCTTGGGGAAGAATGGCTGGAAAGCTGCCCAGAGGAAAAGGACCTGAGGGTGCTGGTTGACAGCCGGCTGAACATGACCACCTTCTGTGTTTTTTGACACACAAATCAACATTACATCCTTCAAAGTTAGGGTGGTTTGAAGATATACACTTCTCATTCTCAAATTGCCCTTTAAACAACCATTTCCCATTCCATAATTTTATACAGTGTGAAACTCTGTCCCTTGCAATTTGGGTCAAAATGGGTTTGCTAATTTGTTCCCATCTCCTTGAAAGCCATATGCACACAACATTACTGTTACACACAAGTTAATTACTAGATTCAAGACCATCTATATTAAAAATCTGTATCTCCCAGTACTCACTGCAATACTATAGGAGATACAGAAAAGTCATTGAATTATGACTCCAAAACAAAGGAAGTAATATGGAAAATAATTAATTAATTTAAAAAGTTCTCAACATTAGAAAGAGTTAAAAAACATAGGCAGGAGAGATGAAAACTCATTCTTTTTAACGAGATTAGAAATTGGAGAAGATAGGGAGGCAGTCATTCAGAAACTGAAAAGCAATTTCTTCATCTTGTGGAAATTCAGACAAGCCTTCTCTTGTACCAACAAGAATTTAAAAAAAAGAAAAAAAAAACCAAACCACAAAAGGCTCTTCAATAAGTGAAAGGAGAGGGCAACATAAGAATAAGCTTTGTGGAGGTTAGCATCTCAAAAATATTTTAGCAGAACTTTCAAACTTCTAAGTTTTGTTTTATTTTGCAGGTACATGAAAATATGAAACAGATGATGTTTCAAACTCCTTTTCGAATTAACTAGTTTCTAAATCTCATAAAATAACTCATTTGCAATGTAAAAATACCAAGCCTACCATTTAAGTGCAATAATCTCTGAAATAAATAGAATAAGATGGTAAACAACAGATTCTTATTTCTGCTGCAGCAGCACACAATAACAATACATGCCCCAAAACTGGGACAGGGAAAGAAAATCCATCAGTGTAGGAATTGTACAGGATAAACTATGGCTGATGATACTGACAGTAGGTGATAATAATGGTGAAACAGTAGATGGGTTCATTGGGTCTTAGCAGCATCACTGGGGCCTATGGGGGCCATACCCTATGGGGGCCCATGAAACTTGCCCTACCCATGTCCATGGACTGCTTGAGTTGGTTCCAGTATTATTCTAGTCAATGAAGAAGGTGAGAACATAGTGCAGCAGACAACAGTTATAATCACTATTTGAGATCTGTGCTGAATTGATTCTCATTCCAAGTTTAGTAAATGCAGTGGAGGATCAAGTTTCTGTATATGCCAGGTTCATGTCTAGAGCACATTTGAAGAAAAATGTTGACACAGACTCAAGCTCATGACTCTTATTAAGTACAAATAAACAGCTGCTGAGGATTTGACACTGCTATTAGCAACCTAAAGAAACCATTCTTTAGCTCTTTTGCTAAAGAAACTTCTGATAATTCTGGTCGGTTAAATTTTGTCAGGAGCCTCAGTTTGGTGAACATTTTGCCTGAACCAGGCCAGCTGAACTGAGCTAGATTTCATATGTGAGTGAAGCTTTACATTTATTATTTTAATGATTACAATAAAGACAGATATTTAAAAAAAATCTTACACTGAACAGTTAAAGATGTATCATATTCCATCCAGTGCTTCACTGACAAGTCATGAAATCAAATTAAATGCATTCTGTGCCAAGCTTTGCATGCTACAAGAGTTTAATAAGCACATACCTGTAGATGTATGCTTTGTCCAGGATAGCTTCCAAGCGGTCATTAAACTCAAAGAATGTGTTATGCTGAATGGAAAACAAATGAAAGTAATCCAATCACTATTCCTCACCACACATCTTTTTCTAATAGTACAGACGTTAGTTCACATACACATTTTGAAAATAATGGATTTTTTGGTAGTCTGACTTTCTTTAAACATTTAACTAAAAGGTGAACTGCAAAGCAAAGATGAAAATTGAGTTAAACATTGTTTTGGGTGTTGAGTGTCCCATTAATCTGATTATAGAAATAACCTTCCTGTTTAGGTCAGACTGCTGCAGATTAATGACTTCAATTCCTCAAACATATATGATTGCTTGGGCAACTTTATCAGAGAGAATTGCACGCATAAAAATCCCTTTTTACTCTTTCTGAAATTCCAGTAATTCTCAGTAAGTGATCATATGTATCAACAACCACATACTAGATGATACCATGCAGTAACAATTGCTGCTGTATCGAATTCCTCCTGTTAATGATTTGTAGTTTACCTTTAGTGATAACCCTTAACATTCACATGTAGCTTTTTTCTTTGTTTTTGTTCAGTACAGGTCTGTTTGCCTAATATGAGGTACTGTTTAACTTTTCAGTCCTTCATATTGTCTTGGTTCTGATTTATGGAATTTTAAAGTTTTGTTGAAAACTGAAGTGAAGAGCACCCCATCTTATTCTCAGAGTTCTTGTTCCCCCTCCAACTTTAAATGAAAGCCAATTCTTTGTCAACATATTGTTTGTGTGAAGGGGAATATATTTAGCCACAGAGTGGCCTGCTAGGTACCATGAAATTCAGGGAGAGGGCTGTTGTCTAATCCCTTCTCAGCCCCTTCATTGCACAACTCCAGATGTCTTTGGACCCCATAACAAAAGTGGGTTTATGCTTGTTAAATATGCTGTGTATAGTTTATGTTGTCCTTAAAACTCCCTCCTTTGCTTTTAAGCACCTGACATTACCAACAGAAGGGGAAAATACATTAGCATTAATTAGTGATTTTAAATTAATTTTTTTTTAATCTTTGAAAACTAAACAGGTAATTTAAGATTAATCCAATTTAACTAATGGAAACAAACCAGCCTTAATCACAAAACACCTTTTGAAAGTAGGAAATAATAAAGTCAGAAGAAAAATATTAGAATAAGGGCTTCATTTGGCTAGATTATATCTTGTATTTTTTCTTGGTTTGTTTAATGATGTTGTAGCTTATCCTGCAGATATTTTCCAATTTCTAAATTTCATATTCCTAAATATTATAAACAATTTTCCGTTGGATTGTAAAAACATTTGTGTGTGGTTAGCCATCCATCAGTAACACATATCTTACCTTTAGCAGCCTATTTGCTCTAAATGCTGGGTTAAATCCAAAGAAGAAGTATAAAACTTCAAATGGCAATATTGATATCACATCGAGCTGTTGAAGAGCAGAGGGGTCAATTTAAACTTCACAATGATCATAATGCATTTACTTGCTGTCAAAAACCTACTTCGATTGAATCATGATTGAGTATAATATTTGAACAGTGAGCCTGCTAAACCCGTAACTTCCAAAGTACTGGCAGGCAAGATTATCTCTTTGAAAACACCAACAGCTTTGTTCTGCCCTGCTTTTAAGTCCTCTGTGCCTGAGATTTTCATCTGTTTCATGGGGATTATTGACAGTATCTCAGATATTTTATTACTAATACATTATTTTATTTCAATCATAGTTCTGACAAGACTAAAATTGTAGGCATGTGGCTGGTGAGTAGAGGTGGGGAGAGAACTCCACAAGCACTTCTTAGTAGCCCTACGGCTTTTAAAACCAGGCTGCCTGGTTTTAAAGCAATCTGGGGGAACAAGATGAATTAGACTCCTTGCTTACAACCTGCAGAAGCCATGTGTTCCAAACAACAGATTCATCATAGGATGATAAGATATTACTAGATATTGTCTTGTTATATTTGCATGCTTCTCCTTGCTATCTCACTAAGATTTTCAACACTTGCCTGCAGTACCTCAAGTGTGTGATTACTCATCTTATCTGCCTATTTTATTCTTCCCAAGAATTCTGTGGAGAGAAGAAAAGCTGTGGCAAATTTGGCTTTGCCTTTTTAAAGATCCTGTGATGCTTGCTCTGTTGCTGGTATCATTTGGGAACAAAAGAAAGATGTGGAACTGTAGGCTTCATCTCACTGTAATCAGAAATGCCTTAGCCCTGAGAGACATAACTTGTGTTGGCAGCAACTAGCCTGCAGCACTGATTTTTTTATTCCATGCAAGTAAGATGCAGTTAATACCTGAACTCTGTGAAAAAAGCAAACCAAAGAAAAAAAATTGATTGAGGACAAACAGCTGTTTATGGCCTCTCTCCCTCTCTCAGACACATGTCTAAAAGGAGGCAAAATTTAGTCAGAAGTGCTTTAATATCAGTAACTGTTAATTAGTACTTAATCGTATGACAAATTCCCAGATTATATCTATATCTTGCATGTGGTGAGAACACTCAACTCTCATTAGTTTCTGCAGAAATCAAGAGCACTAAACATACTACAAGTGTGAACTTAAAATAAAACCATGTATATCCACTTAGTTCTCTTGCTGTGAGTTTGACTCTGTCCTACTCACTTGCCTTTACAGTATACATCCTGCATTTTTGGATAGCTTAACCTCAAGTACATAAGTAGTGATACCACAGTCTGAAACAAGGCAGGTGCAAAAGTATTTACAGAAGAGGAGGGGGCAATAACTGAGATTTCAGAGACGTGGGCTCAGTGTCAAAACTGTGTGTGCATCAGGAATTCAATAGACTACCTATCCTCTGTTGGCAAAAACAGTATTTAGGAACAAAATGAACAATTTTCCTAAATCAAATGCATCTTTGTTTTTACAAAGTGCAATGAGCATCAAAAATCTTAGTTTGAATTTTTATTTACTTATGTGAGGGATGACTTATTCAGTACCACGCATAAGAGTTCACTGAATAGTTACCATCTAACTTCAAGACTTTTTATTTTGTTTAATGAATCTCTGGCAAACTGCACTATTGTCTTTCAGTGTGTGCAGGGATGACCTCACACGAATTCATCAAAACAGAGAATTTTATTAAATCTATTTTATTAATTTATTATTATTCAGAATTAATATTTATAATTGCATTTATTATTATTCTGTTTTACAGTTAATGAAGATGGCAGTCTTCAACTGGTGAGCACTGACATGCCATCAAGACAATGCTTTCTGGTGATGTTCTTAAACCAACAGTGATTTTCAGTGAATGAAAAAAATCCTGCTGCCAGAACTTACATACTGACATCAGTAACACAGGATCTGCTTACCCGAAACTTCATAGTGCTGTGGTAGAATTTCTTCATTTCCACTCTGTCTGTCTACAGCGGTAATGAAAGGAGAAAAAGGCATAGTAAAGAACAGAATGTCAAGAATGAGCCTCTGCTACTTGACAATAATAATAATTCTCTTCTGATAGTAGGGATGATGACAGTTATATTAATGATGGTCTAAAAGTATGAATGAAGAAATATCTGTAGGAAGAAGTAGTACTTTTATTAAACCAGTTTACATTAGACCAGATTTTATTAGACCTACTTGAAAAAATCAGGTTTGGGGTTTGTCTGATTTTTTCCAAGTCTGGCTGTTGGTCTAGCAAAGTATGTTACATTTTTCCCACAAATCTTTCCTCTCAAGACATCTGTACCAGTTGGTGCTTGACTCAAACCCCTTCAAAATGGGCCAAAAACTCCATTTGACTTCAGTGTTCCAAGAAAAATGCAAAGAACATTTCTGATGGTGCTGTACAAAATTAGCTCTGTGAAAGCTAGCATTAACATGCTAGCATTATTAGCATTATAATAACATTGCATTCATTAGTAATGATTAGCTATTTATTTTTAAATTGCTCTCCATGGGAACTGATGCTAATACCTTAATAAGAAAGGGTAATCACAAGTATCTAAAGAAATGTATCTATTATTATACTTTCTGTATTTGTACCAGGGACACTTTAAAAATAGCTTTAAATTCTTAAGGATATTTCCATGCCAACTTTTCACTATTATCAGTTTAAGCATTAACATAAATGCAGGAGATCAGGCAGTAGATGATCTCTTCATGCACTAAAATCTATGAATTGTATAATCAGCTTCAAGGGAAATACAAAGTAAGCTTCCTACTTTAGAGTTTTAACCTTGTTCATAAAACTTGAGTTTTGTAGGATTTAGGCAAGATTGCCAGTTACTGAATGTCTTGGCATGGAAAAATACATTACACTGCACTGCATTTAGTATCTACACAAACTATATTTTGCACAGTTTTATCTGAGATTCCTCTGTAAAGGTATCAGTAATATCTTGTATGCACAATATGTAAAATTTTATGTAAAAGCACTGAACTAAAGCTAGTTCCAAATTACATTTGAGGATATATAATTTTGAATTTTCTGTCTGTTGCGCAGTAGTGTTACACTGAAATTATTTAAACTCATTTTTTTTCCACATTAAATTTTCTTCTATAAGAAGTTAAAGAATCAAAAGTAGGGAAAATTTTAAAGAAAAGTTAATGTTCTAGATGCCATTTTGATATGTTAGGGGCAAGCTTTTACTTTTTTCAGATACTTGCTTAGAGTTTTATTTTGCATTTTTCTATAAAAACATAACACAAAAATAGTAGTAGGAAGCAAAAATGAATGTTCATACTTTCCCAAAATAAAATATCTCAAATAAATTATTTTCAAAGCATCCTGAAATTACAGGGATTTGCTCTGATTTTGAAAAAAAACCCACCACAATCTCACAATCTGTAACAAAACACACATATCTTGTCCAGCCCTAGCAGAATATGCATTGTCTTCAACCATGATTCTCGCACAAGGTGAATAGAAAGCTGGAAGTTTCACACAAACACACACACAAACACATGCGTACATGTATGAGTACATAGTCATATAATCACTGATTCCAGTGAAGCTGCACTCCTGGTGAGAAAAAGCTTTATGCCTGTACCAACTGCTCTCATCTGTTACTTTGAAATCTGTGTTTTCTTTTTTTAAGAAGGTAGGCAATGGATATGTTTCCTTCTTCCAAAATAGGGTAATGGAAGGTCAGTGAAGAAAAGCGTAGGTATCCTTTGATAAATAAAAAAGTTATATAGATTTGACATAGCAGGAAAAAATGTGTCACATTAACGGGAATTTCTATAATGTACTTTAACACACAACTACTATGCATGGAAATGCCACTTCCAATACTTACTATTATATCTCCACCTTTTAAAAATTGCACTCGGGGCTGGAAAATCAGTAAGTCACACAAGTAGCAGATATCACAAATGATGTCTATGGTAAACCAATATACTGTATTACTTGGGGTTTGATATGGAAACACAAAGCGAAGGGGGATAAACCAGCAATTCCAATTATAGGCAACTGTCACAAGCATGAGCCATGCTACATAACGGCGATCTGAAAGAAAAAACATTGAATTTACAGGCATGAACTTAGAATCTTTTCTCATTCTTTTAGACATATTTATTCCACTGCAGTCTCTGGGAATGTTTCTGCCCAGAGCAACCTACCGTCCTCCCCTTTTCAACGGCACAGGTTGCTAAAGTTATATAGGTTGGAACTAAGAGTCACACAAGGAATTTGCAAAAGGGAAAAAAGATGAGTTTATGAGAACATATAGAATTTAATGCGTCTGAAGAAACTTGATACATTTTGCATGCTTCTGGTGTATGTTATAATTGACAAAACAATTATTTGGCCCTAATGAATGGGACAAATTCTAGATCAAGAATCGGAAGACTTGGGTTTTAATTGTGGTTGGTTTGCATACCATATTTACAACTGTTGTCACTTTTCATGTCTTTTCCCTGTCTGGAATAAATGTTCTTTAGGGCAGGATCTATGCATCCCTCTGAGTTGCAAACTGGAATGTGGATCTTATGGTGGCTCACAGGTACTATGTAATACTAGGTCACTTCGATACTTTACCCCGTTCTATTGCATAGCTTTTAATTTACCTGTGTATGAGTCTATGCTGTCTGGTAGCTGCAAATACTCCATGTATTTTTTCAGCGGAGTTTTTTTGAATTTACAGCACAGCATATTGCAGTAATGATACTCCTCTGGCTTTGCTTCTGCATCCTTTTCTTCTTTTTTTTCTTCTTTTGGTGGGGGTGGAGGCTTTTTCTTTGATGGTGCTAGCCACATAGAATGCCGCAAAGGGTGACATTTTAATAATGGGTCAATTACTACACCCTGTTTTAACATGTACAAGAGCCTCATCATGTTAAAAACTCATCTAAAAATACATGGCAGTGACTAAAGCTACAATTAATTATAATACTGAATGCATTAGAAAACAGACTGGAGAATAAAATCACCACTGATATAATCATGTACATCTTCTATAAAGAACAGGGCACTTCATGTTACAGAGTGCAATATATATATTACTGTATTGTGCCCAAAACTGATGCCATAAAAGACTGATAAGAAATAAGGTAATTTGTAAATCATAATTCAGCATTCATTAATGCAACTGGGCATTTCTCTTTACAAGTCTGTTGCAAATAATGCATGCAATTAGGATGGAGGTAAGAAAAGATGCCTGTGCCATGGGCTGATCTCTCCTGTCTCCTGCGAACAGATATGCAAGATGCAGCAGGTGAAACTAACGGGAAGCCTATGGTTTTGTTTGTTTCTAGGCTTACAAAAGTCTTGTGGCACTCTTTTGAGCCCTGTTCTTCCATCTTTGGGCCAGATAATTTTGTCTACACATTCGTCTCATTAATTCTGGTGTCTTTACCTCTGAGTAGGATACAAAGTTCCAGCAGTAAACTGGCAAACTAGATCTATAATAATTTAGGAAATAAATGTTTGTAAGTTCTACAAAGAGAACAAAAGAGGTAAATAAGCAAAGAAATAATGAAAAAAAAAAGTAATTCCTTTATCAGCTGGTATAGTTTGTAATACTTCCGGCACAATTTTTTCCAGCTTATTAAAAAACAGGTAAGCAATAAACAGCTTCTAAAAAATGTCAGAATACAAAATCACCACACTTCATTATTTGTGAAAAGAAAAAAAAAGTCAAACTTTCCTCTAAAGAGGGAAAACATTGTATTTGTTTTCTGTTTCATATTTTGTCAAAAGTAAATATTTAACTAATTTCGGATGAGTTTGCTCTAATCGAATCAGGTACTTAGAGTCCTCAGTGTGTCTGCTGCCACAGCTAAAGTTTTATTTACTTTTACACAGCAGATCTAATCTCAAGTGACTAATATCTACTCATAAGATATGTATGTTTCTTCATGTGTTTCAGATTCATCCCCATGAATAAACATATCTGAAAAAACATATATTTTAAAATATATAAAATTACTTGACAGAGATGATTCTAGACATTGCCCAAGATGTTTTCCACAAATTCTTTAGTGATGTGGTTCAAAGGGAGCTCGTACCTAAGGACCTGGTTTACTGTAAACGAATAAGGATAAATTGACTTCAGTGGGCGCAAACTGATCCATTTCAGTGGGTAAACACGCTATACTTACTTGAAAATTTTATCAATGTATTTTCTGTGAAAAATAATTTTACTCTTTAAACTCAACAAGTGCAAAGCTATTTCCGGAGTCACTTACAAGCTGTGGGACTGCCTTCAGGGGAGGACAGCACTGGGTCTTGCAGCTTTTCCTTATAGACTGTTGCCCTTTCCCGCATTTTTCTGACAATCTCTTGAAGTTGGGCATCAGCATACTCATTTGTTTGGAAACCTGAAGGTGTTGGCTTCTGTGTGCTAATTAAAACAAAAGAAAAAAAGCTTAATGTACTGGAAAGCACTGGAAGGAAACAGTGTTAATTCTACTTCTGAGCAGAAGTCAGACATTAAGACTGGATCTTTATTGGCCACAGTGCTTATTCACATAATTTAATTCACGGTAAGTGGACACCTAAGTTAACTGCTCTTGCTTCCTGCTTATGTCAACTGATATTGCTGGCTACGTGCAGCAGTCTACACGATATTTCAGGCAGAGGAGGTCCTGCACCCTGTGCTCTGTATAGCCCGCTACACTAACGACTTCCCACTGCTGCTTTTCACCAAGTTCTACTGTGGCTATGTAAGGCTTAGATCTCATCCTGTGTATTCGCTAAGATACAAGGCATGCTTTTACCATCTGTGCATAAAAATGTGCTCATTATTATATGGTAATATCCTAATGATGACAGGACATAACTGAGTTAAAGACTGAGATGTACAGCTAGGGGAGGAGAGACTATGCTTACTTTATGCTTCCTAATCTTGGGAAAATTGATTTAATCTCATTTTTGTAACGGATATCAGCTAATATGAGGTAAAAAAATGCATGTTTTACAAAATGGAAGCAAAACAATGGGGTTCCTGCTG